GTCGCGGAAGCTGTCACAACGCCGATTTAGCCAGTAAGGTTTGTGAGCATGCGCAGATGTCCGTTACGCTCTATTAGTTCGTAGTAGACTGGCCGCGTAGTCAAAACGAAAAATGCCTAATATATATGTAAATACCGAAAAGATTCACCGCCTAGTGTAGCCTAGGTAGGCCCTAGCCCTAGGTGTATTCCTCGCCAGGCTAGGCCTGCCCTAGCTAGGCCTAGCTAGCCATACGTACAGCAGGTAAACATTTGAGGAAGCGTTTATATGGCTGTACTAACCTTGATCACTATCTTGGTCGGACATTTTGGATCGATCAATGTTTACCTTTATTTAATATTAACAACATCTACTTAATATATGTTGAAAATAATAACAAAATTGCATTCAAATACTAAAACAAAAATTACTATCGTTCAGTCAACTCAATTAAATATGGCGACTTTGGAGAGGCAATGAACTGCGCCCCCACAGTGTTGTGTGTGATTGGACCACCAATAGCACATGACTTTCGCTATAACGACAATAAACAATTGATTTGGCGAGATTCATGCGGTTAAATTTTTATTTAACTATGGAGGTGCCGTTCCAGACGTTATTATCTTTGTTTTTAATATTTTCTTTACTTCAGAGTTATGTATGTATCGACACACATAATGATGGTAAGTAAGGGCAAGCCTCTCTAGCTAGGGCCTAGGCCTATGCACTAGGCCTAGCTAGGGCCCCTAGCCTAGTCTAGTAGTAGGCCTACCTAAGTTAGGCCTAGCCTACCTAGTAGTAGGCCTAGGCTATAGGGCCTCCCTGGCCTCCTAGCCGCTAGGCTCAGGCAGAGGAGGCCTAGCCTAGAACCTTGGCCTAGCCTACTGAACTGGATATCAGTCAATTCGAGCGAATGTCAGTTGGAGCGGATGTATTTACTATATAATTTAGGGCCTAGTTTAGGCTAGGCTAGGCCTAGGCCTACTGCGAACTTTAAAAAATTTTTCTTCGCCCTAATTTTGTATTTGTTTTAAATGCAAAAAATGCTTTGTGCACTAAAGTTCTGAAATGTTTTTGTTTTGGTACTTTTTGATAATTTTTGGAGGGGTGTCTGCCCCCCCCCCACAATTTTAAAGTAATTCGTACATAACTTGCACAGGCTGTTGTTCGCACAAGTGAATCTTTTTCCCGCTCGAAATAGCATCCGCTCGAATAAATTCTGCTCGAACTGACATCCCTCAAATTGACTGGTTCCCACTAAACTATTCTAGCATACAGGCGGTATAGAACTAGCCTAGACTAGGCCCTGATGCGGTAGGCTAGACCTAACTCGCCCTAACTAAGCCTAAAGGGAAGGGGCCTAGTCCTTAGAGCGTCTTAAAGTAGGCCTAGCTAGTACCTAGCCTAGGCCTAAGATAAGATTTCCCCACCCCACAAGATCGCTGCCGGCCCAGATCGCTGCATGAGCAGATCGCCATTTGTTTGGCTAGATCTGTGTCCGGCCTAATCAGCATCCGGCATAAAAATCGCCCTACCAGATCTTTTATTGAAATTTAAATGTTTGCTGTTTCATGACCATGCCCATCATTTTATTTTGTGTAGTCATATACCATACAATAAATTTAACCTGTTCATTAATTTATTGTCATTGTATAACATCAGAATTACATGAAATTGAGTTGGCTCATGTAAAGCAAGTGAGAAAATCAAATTGAAAACTTAACTTAAATTCTTGTATTTTTCTTGTAATAGACGATACTCAAGAACTTCTAGGGAATCATGGCAATCTATTAAAAGAAAAACATCCACCTCACAAATATGAACAAATTACCATGAAAAGCAGCAATCAAGAGACGATTTCTGCGAGAACTTACCAAAAAGAGGAACCAGGTCTTGAAAAGTATAGCACCCAAAATAGAAGTTTGGCAGACACACATAAAAATGATAAAATTTACATGGCTCCAGATGATTCATCAAACTCTCTTGACATAGGCAGTGATACTCCCATCCACACCAGGAACTCACAAGAAACTATCAAGAAAGGTCCAATGAAATCTACAGCCCATTTTCTAACAGAATTTCAACCAATTGCATTAAAGTATTACATAATGAGGGCATCACATAACCCAGTTTGTGTACTTTATAGCAGTAGAGGTTAGTGCCTCATTTTCCATTTAAATAATACCATAATTTTTAACTCTTGAAGTATACATTTAAATATAGTCTGATTATATATATTGTTACAGGATGAACTATAATATGATTTCTTCCATAATTTTTCCCCTACCAGAATCAAATTTAGATGTTGAAATAAAGATCAGTAAATTTTGGGCAGCTTTACCAAGTGATACTGCATATGGAACATGGAGGATTGGTTTATTTGAGAAGGTTTGTATACAGTGATGTTGGTGTTCACTGTCAGAGACGTGAATTTACATCCGACAGGGTTCACTCAGGGCTCCAAGGATGTGAGTTCACGTCCACACCTCTCCAACATACCACTATATTGATATTGTATTGCATGCAAAATCACTGGCAGTGGTTGCCAGAACACAAATTCTCTCCGTGGAAGTTTAGGGAAGGACCCAGAATGATTGATCTAAATATAAATACCATATGTTTGTTCTTGTTTCACTAGAGTTGCTGAAAATGATTTCCATTATGGTGGTGCCCTTAAGTCTTCGGTGAGTCCAATGGTCGAGAGGTTAGCAGGGGCGCTGCAAGCTATAGCCATAATATCGGCGCTGGTTCAAACGGCACGCTCGCCTATGGTTCTGGTGGTAGAACAAATCTTCTCGGATAAGGACTATAAACCTTAGGCCCAGTGTATACAATGGCTCGTGTGCACTATAAAGAACCCAGTACATCCTTCGAGACGAGTAGGGGGATACCCCGGTGTACTGGAACAGACATCCCCTGTAGTGGACGATGAGAGTTGCTGGTACCGGGTTACCGGGTAGCACAGACACGAAGGGACCCTTAGGGGTGAAGAAAGTCATTGATCGAGTTCCTAGTCCACATATCAAGTGCCCTGAGCATCTTACATTAGATGGATATGTGCGCTATATAAAACTACGCTATTATTATTATTATATGGTATAGAACTAGGAAAAAAGGCTTGGCAGTGAACAGATTATGAAATAAATAATCTTGATTAATTTATCATTTTGTATTCAAAATCAGAATCATGGTTCATCAGGTATCAAATTTCCACCAGTAGTACCAATGCTAAGATGCTACATAGGAACCGCCATACCACATGATTACAATGGTAGGGGAACCAAGAAACACCTCCACAAATGGTTCCAAAAGCTGGTGAGTCACAATAATTTTAAGTGTATTCACCAACACATTTTAACTAAACCAAATACCCAATAAATTCTTGATTACCTGTAGGAAGTTATAAACTTTGTGTTTATTTTTGGGCTACAGTATTCCCTACACCTTGACAAACTACCAGAAGCCCATCGATCTACTATTGATGATGTCATTGCTACCAGTAACATGACCATCCTAGCATTTCCAGGCGTGAACCATCACTACGATGTAGAAATGGCTCTTGTAATTGTAAGAAAGCTTCATTCTAAAAATTACTTTTATTCTTTAGAAAAAGCATTGAGATTACATTAAATGACTTTAATTAAAAAGAAAAAATACCAAGCATACAAAACCCCAAACTTTCCATAAAGATGGACATGTGTGGGGACCAGTGGCTTATCTAGGAGTCTCGATGTGGGGATGCTGCTTGGGGGGTGCAGAGGTAAAGTGGGAGGAGGGGGTGCAATGATAAGTTAAGGGGTGCAAACTTGCAACATAAGGTGATTTTAGGTGATTTTTAACTACTTGACCATGATTTTTTTTTAGCGTCTGGTGGGATGGGGGGGGGGGAACAAGTAATTTTGGAGGGGCGTGCGACCCCTGTGCACCCCCTAGATATGCCACTGGTGGGCACCACAGGACAGGATGCAAAAGATGGAAAGGCATCAGATACAATGGACCGTAGTACAGTGGTTTAGATTTAGTCCATTTAGAATGGAGTTATTAATTAGATAAAATTAATTCTGATCTCACCATTAGTCTAGTTCTATGCATGGATAGTAAAGAAAAAAAAAATTATATAAGCCTATCTAAAATTAACTAGTAATAATACTACTAACACTAAAGAATCTCAAAAATATGATTATTACAATTTTATAGATACATTGTTCTTAGTGCCTTATCAGATTATTTTGAGTTGATGTAAAATGTTTATAGTAAAGAAAATCACTTTGGTCTTTCCTTAGTATGGATTAAAAAATTAGATTAATAGTAATTTTTTCAAGTTGTTTTCCTTCTTAAAGTTGTCTGACAGATTTAAGCCGTCAGTTAATTTTCTGATGGTGCATCCTAGCTCAGTAGAAGAAGACGGTCTAAAACGGCGGTTTAATGTTGAGCAGGACCCAACAGTGGTTGCACTTGGTGGTGAAGGTAAGCTATAAAAAGATGAATTGTAGTATACAGGGGCAAATCCAGGATTTGAAGCAAGGGGGTTCAAATTTTTCCCAAAAATACCGAAAAGAAAGGGAGGAGAAAAATTTGATTCCTAGATGGCTGGAAATGAGCTTTCCCCGACTTCTGAGGGGGGTCTGTTAATGACTTTTAACTTCTTCAAAATTCAAGGTTTTCTCCTCTTCGAAAAGGTCAAGTGATTTTGTCTCTTAGGCCTAAGTATGTACATATAGATAAAAAAATAGACAATATATTATTTTATTTCAAAGATCCCATTAAAGAGACCTTGGAATTTTGTCCCTGGTTATAATAAACAATGGTCAAACCAAAACAGTGTTTTTAATTTTATTTAATTGAAGGCTAATTAGGCTAAGGTTAGACTGTCTGATCTGCCTACCTAGTCCTAGGTAGTTTTAACATGGCTTTTGCAGGCCAGGATCCATGCAGTACCGTACACTGGCAGGTCAGTCATGCAGGAATTCAAAATAGAAGGGGCCCACAAATGGAGGTTCTACCACCATAGTTTAGGGCTGGGGTACACAAAAATATGATTGTGGCACCTCTAGATGGATGGAAATTGCATTCTCAGACTTTGAATATAAAAGTAGGTGCCTCCCTTGGTTTTTTTTCACGTTTCATCAAAATTGGAGTTCCCCCCTCCCCCCTTCCTGGATCAGCCACTGGTATAGGAATCATCCATGCTGGTTGTCTTCTGTGGTGAAGGTAAGTTGCACCTTTGTGTTAAAATTGACAAAATTGTAGTTGAGAAAACATTAATAATTGTGCTTTTATTTATAAAGAGATGTGGTTACTTTTTGTGATAAAAGTGAGCTTGTAAAGAATAATTTTGATTAGAGGCAACCATTGGTAATTTTTCTTAGTGGCCAAGGTGGTTCAAGCCTGTATTTGCGGTTCCGGATCTAACTTAACTGAAGTTTAAGGTTGTATTAATAGTGACCAAGATAAAGGCTGTGGTTTAGTTTATATTGAATATAAAGTACTCTAGAAAAATGCAACTTGGAATCATGCGTAGAATAAAAATTACAGTCAGTTAATATTAAAACCATTTCATTTTGCAGATTGGACAAAAGGATCTACCAAAACCTTGGCAAGATTCACTAACTCTCAAGTAACACAGGAAAATTTAGAAGCATTCTTGTTGTCACAGACATCAACTAGCATTGCCCTGAATGTGGTATGAAAACATGTTTGAGCATTTAGCACTACAGCGGTTGTACAGTAATAAAGAATAACTAGATTTGAACTCGTCACTGAGGACGAATTCGGTGATCCGCCGTACTTTGACCCTCAGGAAGC